CTTTGTGCCTTTAACAAGACACTGGACATTGCTTTTTTACTTGTGGGGAGGGAATTGCATCACTTTTGGTCGTGAAGTACTTCTTGTTTTTTTTACAGCAAGACCGTGAATTAATGTGTTAATCTCCTCTATGATTCTGCCTGAGACTCGGGTTCTTTTATTGGGCTAAATTGACAATCACTGATTTCTTACCCAATTTCAAATGCATATTGTTAACATTTGGGCTATGAGTCCCAGAGAGTTATTAAATGATCTACGAGAGTGCAGGAGCTCTGCAGTCTGTCCAGGAGAGGCAGGATCCTGGCAACGTGTTGAGTTCTCAGCAGGTAGTTGATTTTCTCCAGGAAAAAATGTTCCGAGCTGTGAGGGGTAAAACAACTAAAGATGAATGCATTTAATTCAAAGGAAAAAAATAATTGTGTTTATTCCAAGAAAGGTTGGTTGGTTTGTTTTCTCCTTTTAGCAAGAGTAATGGTGGTAAACACTCACAAAGGCGTGTGAACTCCCCAGTGCTCCACCAGTACAGACTTATGAACCACTGTAGCTTTTGTTTCCCTTTGACTTAACCTTCAAGAATATCTGAAAACTTCAGCACACCAAACTCTTGCTTTAAATAATTTATTTGTTCTTAGAAAAACATTTTTGTTTCTGTTAACCAGTTTATTCTAAACTGGATTTAGACTGAAAGAAAAAAAATGTGCCTTAAGAACTCATTACTTACCTCTATAAAAAAGCAAGAGTGTCAGACAAGAACTTGGGTTTGCTGAATGTTTCAATTACAGTTTTAAGGACTGTCAGTAGTAGATTGAACTGGAATTGATGATTGACCACAAAATTCAATATGTGTGCCTTGAAATTAGATATTGGAGAAAATCTGTAGTAAGCACAGCTTTTAATTTAAAATTATGGAGATATTTCTTAAATATATGCAGAATTCATGAATAAAATGTGGATTATTTTTCTGGTACAGTGATGTGCTTAGAAGACTGTAGCTGAAGGAATTAGTCATAAAGTTTCACCTTGTGGAGACTGAGGGATGCAGTGAAAAAGAAAACTGACTTCAAGCCAGAATCCATGTAAAATAATAAAAGTATTAACAAAACAATAGGATGGTTAATTCTGAAGGTGGGCCCTAATCTTCAGCATTGCTATAGTCAAATTCTTATGTATCATTTTTCAAAATGAACATGCAAAATGCGTCCTCTATTGATTAAGGCAGTTGAGATGGGGTGGGTTTTGGTTCTGGGGTTTTTTTTTTTAATTTTACCTTTACAGTCTTGGATAAAACCTATACAACTTTTGAAAACCCTTGTTATCCTGATGTCCTCTCCAAGGTATTCCCACCACTAGAGAACCTGATACTATTCTAGGATGAATAGCAATGATTCCCCAGCAGTGAAAACTAAAAATAAAACAATAAATAAAGGCAACGTATAAAAATAAAAATAAAAAAAGGGAAGGGAGGTGTCAATAAGACTTGATAAGGATTGTAGCATAGGGTTTGTCACAAAAATGTGGTAGAATGGAGCCAGAAGCATTGACTAAGACTTAATTCACCTCTCTTCGATGTATTTTTTTTTTCTTATGCCAAGGTAAGAGGTGAAGGTGTGTTGCTGTTCGTGCCAGACCTGATGATGGCTGAATTTAGGGAATGTCAAAACAAGCAGTGATGCTGCTCTGGTCTGAGGGTGCTCTTCCTTACTCCGTTTCCTGGGTGTGGGGACCTGGTCACACCCAGGGGCAGCTGTTGGTGGCAACGAGAGCGAGGGCTGCCAACTTCTGTCTAGCCACTGTCAGGGACAAGGTGACTTACAGAGCAGTGCCAACATCTTCAATCCATCTAAACCAAGAATTTGGGGCTATAGGATAAGGCAGAACTCCTTACTTTTTTTTCTACACATCTCTCCTATATATGTACGCAGTTATTTCAGGTATTGCATTTCCGTAAGTGCACCTGGAAAATGCTTTTTTAGGTGTCTTTTTGATATTTTTTTTTTCTTTCTAGTTCTGTATAGGCACAAAAATAGTAATGGCTCTTTTCATGAGCCACTCCAAGTAATAGGCAGGTGAATGGGCCAAGTTTTAAAAGAAATCATAATTTCTTCAAATAGCAAAGATGGAATTTGGAGTCTGAGATTCATTTTTACTATTCTAGTCCTAATTAAAAAAACTTAGTTTCTCAATATCATAGCGTAATTTTACTCTTGCATGTGGAACATTTTTAACTACTGACAGGAGTGTGGGGGGAAGATTGAGAAATCTGTTAGACTTTTGAAAATGTAATTTTCTTGTGGAGAAGTTAGTGTGTACCAGATTTGCAGAATTTACTTTGTGTAGAAAGCGTTTTGCTCAGTCTATGTCTGTGTGTGTTTGAAAAATTGTTTGTTTAGAGCCTGCAAATGAATTTTGAAGTCTCCCTTTCTTAGGCATTCCTGACAAAACCCATTTTTCTCCTGAAGATAATTTATTTCAAAGCAAATTGTATTTGGTGGCTAGTATAATTTTCAAACCCCATGCTTTGCTGTGCATTAGTAGCCAAATAACATACATTTTCTTTTTAATAATAAAACTGATGAATAAGCTAGTGATAATTCTGCCTACTGATTTTTATTTTAACTCCATGTTCTGATGCAACATCAGGCATGGAATAATGCAAATACATTAGTGAAATGCAAGAGAGTGACCCTACTGACCATTTCAGAATTCAGTGCTGAGCAGTTACCAAATTAGACATTTTAAATTCAGAAATCTTCTCTTTCAGCTATGTTGGTTTTAGGGCATTTTTTTATGCTCCAGAGTTGAGGTATCTACCTGCCCATGTTTCTTTGGCAACCCCAACTAGCACATGCTAAGCACATCCATGGAGAGCGTGGTGGTAGTGTCACCTTCTCCAAAACCTCCAAGAACTCAGACCTGGGAATACATAAGACCAGAGCTGGGTGCGCTGCTGTCTGACCATGTCCTGTTGTTTGAGCATGAACTTTCTCCTCATCCTGCCAAAGTTGTGGCATGATCAGGAGTGCCCAAAAGTCATAGAACCAAAGAGAGGGAGTTTCTAGAGACCCAAAAATTCCCATTGGCTTTAATAGGGTTTTCCTGCACAGCTGAAGTGCCACAAAGGTATCTAATGTCTCCTTCACTGTGGAAAGGTGATTTGGAAAAATGGTTAATTTTGTTAACAGCTTTAAAGTAAAAGCTGTGTCTTGAAAAAACTGCTCAAGTATTTTGAAACTTTCTAAGGACTTTTTTTAGATCAGCTAAGTTGGAAAAATAAATGGTCCGGTGACTACTTGCTAATTCATCTGCATGTGCAGCTGCAAAATTATTTTCTGTGCACATAGTGCAAGACTGCTTCCTAAATATGAGGTTTAGAGGCCCTTTGGGAGTAATTAACTATAATGCAGAAGCAAATCTGGGTTCATTGTATGCACTGCTCATTTAAGAAATGTTTTTCTGCACAAAGCCCATTAGTAAGTTTCCAAAACCTCTGTGAATGTTAAACATTTTATTATAGGACTCTGAGCACTTCTTATTTTACATAAACTCTAATGTAATCCGATGAATTACATTTAGCTTTTGATCCCTGGATAGCAAATTACTGTCACATGTGTGCCACAGTGTATTCAAGGGATAAAATCTGGCTTTTATTCAGTGTAACAGTGATAGAAAAGCTTTTTTTCCTGTGGACTACGCAAAAAGTTGACGATGTGCTCCAATTAAGTTGCATGGTATTGATTTTTTTTCTACTTACTGAACAACTTCCATACAGTATATGGGTTGTTTTGTTTTGGGTTTTTTTTTATTAAATTTATTCTGCTAACTGCTTTTCTTCTGTGCTTTTAGTCCTATGCTGTACATGGTTGTTAGGATCCTGACTCTGATGCAATGGAAACGCAAAGCAAAGCTGCTGTTTTCATCAGTTGTACAGGACTGGCAGTCAAAACAACTGAGTTCCTGAGGATGTGATTTAGCCAGGATTGGGAGCACATGCCCTTAGCCTCAGTGGGTGTAAGCATGTGCCTGAAGTTAAGAGTATGTTTAATCTGCTGAATTAGGTCGATGCATGAGGCTAATGGACTCCTTCAGCAGCAGCAGCAGCGTGATGCTTTCCGACCTGTATTACACAGGCAGTCAGGGGATGCAATCTGACTTGCCCTCACTATCAACTAATTTGTGAAGAAGCATAAATCATGTGAGATACTCTTAGGAAATCTATCCTACCAACTGTGTGTGATGAGGGTGCTGATACTTGCACGTGCTGGGCAGTATCGCTGGGCAGCAGGCTGGTGGGACTGGGCTTACTGGCCCAGTTGCATGCTACTAATCAGCACAGAAGCAGAGTGGCCCAAAAACAGATGAAGAGCAGAAATAATGGCTCTGCTTTTATGAAAGCTTGTCCTTTCTCTTCTCTTAACTGTTTGTTATCTGTTTGGAGAGATTGACAGCATAGCATCGTTTGTTATCTAATATATAATGAAATATATATTGCATCTTATCCACCATTTATTTCCCAATAAAAAACAAACTGTAGGAGAGTTAATCATTAACATTTAAGAGTTTTTACACCACCTGTGCTTTATCTCAGAATGTGCAAAATATATCCGAACACTTCCATTTAAGGTGATGGTTTACACGGCTTTGGTTGCAATATCTGGATTGGTTGAATTTTGTGCAATTACTATTTTACACAGCAGCAGAGTATCTGTGAAGTGGCTATCAATTGAAATGTATTTTGCTCTTCAGACTTGCTTTTGCAGGTTTCACAAAACATTTAATTAGTGATAATCGGTTTTTAACCAGCCAGAGCACACTGATGTGATTCTCTCTCTTCCCCATAATTGTAGGCATAGTTCCTACCCATAAGATAAATTACTTGCAGTCTGGAGAACATCCTAGCCAGCAGGAAGGGAGACAATAAGAATGCCATTTGTATGGGGATAAAGAAGGTGTTGTGTGTACTGTCATTTCACTGAAGGATATACTTTTTCTCTCCTTTTCAGAATGGTGGACCTGGAAACCAGCTGGAGATTGCAAAGTCTCCTTTTCCTTGAGGTTGCTGGTCAGTGGTCACCTTTCACCACACCCAAGGAAACTAGAAGAGTTCCACGTTAACTTCTGTAAGGTTTGTTTCACTATGGAAGATCAAATGATTTTCTGGCTCAGGTTTTGTGAAGTTCGGCACCTGCCTTGGACCCGCAGTTTGGAAAAGGGATCATCTCTGAGGCACGGTTAAGAGACAGAAAAACCAGTCCCAGACGATGAGCACTTTAAGTAGCACTGGAATATTACTCAGCTTAACGACAGTGTCTGTTACGCTGGATTTTAGTTTGCATGGTGGTCTGATGGCTTGGTCCTTAAGCAGCAATTTGACTCTGAATCAGAGTTTGCCTACATCTGATCCTCTTAATGCCTCTGAGAAGGGCGAAGTCTCTCGGATGTCCGTGAGGGAGAAGAACTGGCCAGCCCTCCTGATCTTGGTTGTCATCCTGTTGACCATTGGGGGGAACATATTGGTAATTATGGCTGTGTCCTTGGAGAAGAAGTTGCAGAATGCCACAAACTTCTTCCTGATGTCCTTGGCGGTGGCAGACATGCTGGTGGGTATCCTGGTCATGCCCGTGTCGCTCATTACAGTCCTGTACGGTAAGTGGCTTCCCTCCTTGTTTGACTATACGCTTTTGCAGGGAATCCCGAGGCTGCAGCAATCTGCTTTGCCCAATTTTTCATGTGTTGGTAGTTTGGGGAGTATCAGTGTGGACTTGGCCATGGCTCTGTGCTGAGGTTCACGCTCTCCCGGGTGAGGGTGATGCTCTGCTGGGAGTAGTTTGTTTCTGTGCTGATGGGAATGACCCATGAATGGGGTCAGCATCGTTGGGTTGTTTTTATTGCTGAGGCCACTCAGAGAAACTGGAACAGTGTGTCGCCTTTTTACCTTTTGGTTGGACTGCCCCAAAATTATCTAGGGCAGAGAGCTTACAGAAAAGCTGGGAGTGTGTGACTAAGCTCGATCAGAATCAGTCCTTGAGCTCCTACTGATACCTGATATTAGTGGGATTTGAGCAATAATGTGGTTAACAAAGGAAGCTTGCGCTATTAGATTTGGCATTCAAATAAAAGTCTTACCTCTTGCCATTTATATCTGAGCTTGTCTTGTTGCCTTTCAGGGGGTCATTTTGCCATTTTGTGCCTCAGTTTCCTTATCTCTAAGCTAAGCAAATGCCCTTCACTTTAAAACACTGCTTGTATAGATGCAAGCATTTATTTCTATAATACTAGGGTTGGTGTGTTTATGCTGAAGTGGGGCATTGCTCCTGCGCTCAAGTGTAGAAGCGCTGTTAGCACTTCAAAGGAGTAAAATATCAAACATGTTCAACTTTCTTATCTGTCTGAAACTTCAAATCCAATTCAGTATGGTGCTGGGACGGACTCTCCATCCCTGGGTATTACAAAGGGGTATTGCGTTTGCCTCTGTATCTCTGATCACCGTGTTTGTACGCTCATGGATGAATATTATGTGCGTGTGTTTAAAAGATAACGCTTAATCATTTTTGAAGTCTGTTTTCAGATTTTTCTTTGAAAAGTATTTTAACATTGATATTTCTTAGAAACAAATAATGCTGTTTACTTGCAGATTTGATTAGAAATTGGTTTACTGTCCTATAAAGTAAAACGTAGGGATATTTATGTGACTTCTTCATTTGCTTAAATGATTAAGTTAGACAGAGATTCATTTCTAAAACACATTGATCAAGTACACGTCATTCCAAAGCTTATATAACTCGTCTACAGTGAGTTAAATCAATATGTGATTTAGGTACAGACCTAGCCATCGAGATCTTAGGCATAAAGCCTTTTATTTTGCGCTGTCAGAATAGTTACATCTCTAAATCTTCTGTGTATTACAACACATGTATTTTATTTTTAGCATTTTACTCCAGTTCCCTGGAGCTTGAAAGGGAGCATATAAATACTGAATTATTTGATTGACCTGCACTTGCATAAATTCTGGGTTAGCCAGTGATTCTAAAAAGGTGAATTTATGGTAGTGATCTTTCTATATACATACTTTCTGAGTCCTTGGAAACTAATGGAAATGGATTTTCTGTTCTGCCTAGAAAATGATTACTTAAGGTTGTTTAAAGGTGTAAAGCATGCTGCATATTTAGAGACAAGTAAGTATCATTGATCTGAAGAGGAATTGCAATTATTCCTCTCTTCTACCGAAGCACTAGTATGTTGATGGCCCAAACGTTTCTCCGCAGGCAAACAGCACTAAATAGACCTTTTTTTTTTTTTTTTTTTTTTTTTCTGGCAAAAGTTATAATTTCAGAACAGGGATGAAGAACTTGTGGAAATACTGTGAAAAATGAGAATAGCTGCTGTTAACTTCAGGGGCACCATGAGGCTGCTGAAACCATGCTGGGTGCTGGTACTGCTCCCTTGGGCTGGACCAAAGCAGGCGTTGTGAGGGGAGGAAGAAAAACTCCACTTGGGGAAAACAGAGACTCAGAGGAACTTGTGGACTGATTTGAATAGGACCCCTGTGAAACCACTTTTCTATATTATTTAAACTATAATTGTGGGAGTAAGCAGCCAGGGCTGTGCCATTCCAGCAGCAAGGGGTGAAGGCTGTCAGAAGAGAAAGTCTGTCCCCTCTCCCAAGTGATCATTTGTTAATTCATCCTGAAAATAAACACTTGGTTTGATACACAGAAGTTAAAAGGGCATGGACTGACTGGCTATGTCTGAGAGAGGACAAAAGGAAAAAGACCAAGGTTGTGTCAAGAGTATTGCTCTTCTTTAAATCCACCATAACATACAGACAGACACCCTTTTCTAGGCATCTAGAAAAATCACAGAATCAACTAGGTTGGAAAGGATCTTGGAGATCTAGTCCAACCATTAACCCCACACTGACAGTTCCCAACTTCATCATATCCCTCAGTGCTAAGTCAACCTGACTCTTAAACCCCTCCAGGGATGGGGACTCCACCACCTCCCTGGGCAGCCCATTCCAATGCCCAACAACCTGTTCTGTAAAGAAATGCTTCCTGACATCTAGTCTAAACTTTCCCTGGTACAACTTGAGGCCATTCCCTCTTGTCCTGTTGCTCGCTACTAGGTTAAAGAGGCTCATCCCCAGTTCTATGCAACTTTCTTTCAGGTAGCTGTGGAGGGCGATGAGGTCTCCCCTCAGCCTCCTCTTCTCCAGACTAAACACCCCAGTTTCCTCAGCCGCTCTTCCTACGGCCTGTGCTCCAGACCCTGCACCAGCTTCAAATCGCATAGGATGTAACAGTAACAGGGCACACAGACAGCCTTAGCATTTGATGGTGTATATAAATAAAGCATGCATATAAGTGTCCTCGGCTTCACGCATGCTGGAGGCATCAAGCTTTCAGAGTCCTACACCTATTTCCATCTTTGTCAGGAAGGCAAGGCAGGTATCCTGTATATTATACTCAGCTTGGTGGACCAGCTCTTACAGCAACATGAGACAGCAGCTGAAAAGGTTCTTGGTAGAGTTTCAACATTAACAAATGCTGTTGTTATAACTGACAGCCTCCAGGGATCCATCACTTATTCCCAAACCTGTTTTATCTGGTGTCATAAGTAGCGTATCTGCACTACTGCACACACTGGTTTTGAGGTCAAAAATCTGGCCTCTTGTGTAACATGGGGTTTCTTGGCTTAGTTTCCTTTGAGCTATAGTTTTTGGAAAAATGGTTCTTACAGCAGCCTGCAGCACTCTGTATGCCTCACTGGCCAGTAGGACAGTGGACTTTATCTTGTTTTCTAAGAGTTACAGTTCAGGAAATGCAAACATATACAAATGCTTTAGTAGGTTTTATATTCTGTTCGACATGGTAGCATAGAAACCAGTATCAGTGATTAAATATTCACATATGAGCAGAATTCCTTTGAGGGCAACAGGGGCTCATAGCCATGGACTGTGGCAGGGAGAGCATTACTGCTTTTGCAGACATAATTGTGAATGTTCAGACATTTTTCCTCTGTATATTTTACCCTGTGCACTCCATATAGTCTACATATTACGACACTGGGCTGCTTCAAAAGCTGCCATATGCTGTACAGAGAAATGTATGCAGCACATCTCCTCCAGATTTGTAGAAGTTGCTTTTAATTTATGTAATCAGGAAGGAACCTTAAAAACAAACATAAAATAAATAAGAGTGATGAAGTTGCTTTTAAGTTTCCACATCAGTTCTCTCAGCCTCAGTGATAAATTCTAGTTTGTAGAGTAGGTTAATTTCCTTACTTTTCAGCTAATGAGGTAGATGAAGTAGATTTCACGTCAAGCATAACCAGAAAATTGAATAGACACCCTCCACAAAGACTTGTAGTTTTCTTAATTAAAAGAAGGAAAAAACAAGTTGTCAGTTAATTCAAGATTCTTATTATAAAGGAAGGGATGACAGGATGCATCATGCTAGATTTTTCACCAGTTAGTGCTCTGATACATTTATCAATTAGTCTTTCTTAAACGTCTTCGGTTAATCAATGAGTTGCATATGACAACTTAATGTCTGCCATGGCATGGAGTTCCTAAAGAACTAAACAAATTAGGATGCTAATTAATAAACACATATTGGGAAGAGTAAATGAGAAATTAACACCATGTTTAATCTTGTTGGAGAAACCTCTGATTAATATAATACTGGTGTGATAGGGCATCAGATATTCTGCATGTAATGGAACTTTTGCCAACACATGGAGATTGTCTCCTCACCTTGGAGCATTTCGGGGACAAGCAGTGGTGGGTGTCTAGTTGCAGCAGTTGCATTGTGTCTAGTGTTTATGGGCAAGAAAGAGAGGGCTGCTTTTTGTCTCCTAGGACTAGTGAAGGAATGTAAGACAGTCTCATCAGCTGATCTGAGTGGAAATTTCAGAAGGTATCTCTGTTCTAATGATACAGATTCACAGATGCTAACAAATTGCCAACAAGCGGCCAGCACACTCATCCATGACTCCAGGTGCCCAGGCTTCTCTCTTCTCTGAGTTTCAAAAAACACTGTAATGCTGGCAACCCAGCGCAGCTTCCAGGAAGGCTGGTATTAGATGCAGCATTCATTAGCCCCAACTGCTGGAACAGCTTTACACCCAGATTATTGTTATTATTGATAATTATCATCATTATTATATGGTGACAGAGATGTGCTGAGCGCTTGCAGCAGACTTCACTGTTTATTCCCCCCTACAGAGGGAAGGGGGGAAGCAGAAAGAGCTGTCAGTCAAACAGCCTGTTCTGCAGTCTCACTTTGCCTGACCCTGCTTTGCCTTTCTAGGGTGACACTTGCTATCAGCAGTGAACATCTTGCAGAGACACCTGATCAGGCCAGACAATGACAGGTGTCGCTGAATAAATTCCTGGGCAAAGTCAATACCTGAAAGGATAGACCAGAGGGTGCCTGGGGCGTTTGTAATGCAGATCTCCTCAGCAGTGCCAGGGCATGCTGCACACCTTGATGATGCTGGGTATTTTCTGAAGCTCCAGCAAGGAGCAATGTGCTCCTTCTTCAACAGCTGGGGCCATTGGCACTGTCTTTCATTTATTTTTTTCAATTTAATTTTTCTCTCTCCTGACTTCTAATAATGACTCTCAAAGTACAGGTTAGTGTTTA